ACATTTATCTTTTACACAATGATAATAATTAAATTTCCAAACATCATAGACTATTATAATACAATTTTGAAAATAATAAGTAATTATGGTTATTTATGTGTAATAATAAAATCTTGTAAACTAAATAATGTTAATAACATTTTGAATTTTAGTTATAATACCTATTTTATATAAAGTAGGTACTTTATTTAAAAAATTTTTATCTAATTTAACCATTCCAAATATTATTTCAAAGTATAATACTTATTTATATAATATAGATATTTATTTGGTAGGTATACTTATTATATATTTCTACTGAAAGTATTTTACGATTACAAATTCAAAATGATTTTTTTATAAGTAATATAAGCTTAATTAAAGAACTGTTATTAAAAATTTTTAAAATTATTTATATTTTAAAGACGACATTAAAAAATAAATAAATATTTTCACTATAATATATGTATTGAATTCAAATATCTAATTATGTACACACTGTACAAGTATATTCTATAAAATTGGGTATTGGTGTTAGTGATTACATAATAACTAACAACAAATAATTAAAATATGTTCAACTATACCTCAATAAAAAGATTTAACTCTTAAGTACCTATACTGAGTCCAATAATTATACGTATATAATGTACAATAATAAATGACCCCCTCAGAGTTAGTTTCATCGAATCAGTTTACGTTATACGGATATACAATTAATGCAATTTTTTAACCAACTTTCTTGGTTTAATTGAAAACATATAAGTATTACAAATTAGATAATTTAAATATATGAAGCGTTTTAATAATAATATTGTGTTTTGACGACTGGTTGTAAATATGATATTGGATCAGTTGGCGTGTGGGCAATATTCGATGACTGTGGGTTTGCAATAGGGTTCTCCTACGTCTCAACTTGTTGACCGTTGCATTATTGTTAAACAGGAGAAAGTCGGCTATTAGCTTAATAGATCAATTATTTTGGCACACATAGTCAGGAGACCAATGACCCACAAGGTACTAGTTATAAAAACTGAATATTTTTATCATAAAATTATATTGACCCAAGACTATTTAGTCTTTTGGCTATTGTAGACTTCGGGGCTGCGAAATTATAGAAACTGAAAATCTAAAGGACGAGAATAATTCAAAGTTTTTTGTGAATTTTCATAAACGAATTTAAATTAAAAATGAATTACAAAAACAGACAATAAAGGATTTCACTTGAATATTTTATACTATTTATCATGTATATGCTACTTAGACAATTGTATAAATACATTAGTAACATTAATCTACCTAAAAAGAAAAGTTTAACACTATATTATAATTATATAATTTTACGAATAAACATTTATTCACACATAACTTTGTTTTAGAAAAGATTTAAAGTGTATTATTTTATATTTTCTTCATATGATTCATTTCATTTTCAAATAAATTATTCGTGTGTTATCCATCTGAAAAATCTGGTTAATATGTAATGAAAAAACTTAAAGTATACAACTTAATCGTTTAATATAGTTCCGTGTATATATAAAGTAATTATACCTAAGTGAGGAGACTAGGAGTGAAAACTATTGGTTTTAATGTTACGTTTTACAGTAATATTGTAGCTGCCTAAGTTTATCAACAATAATTCTAGTTATATAATTATTATTTCAATAGTTTCATAACTTTTATAGTTTTATATACAAATCAAGAATTTGAAAATACTTAGTCAAAAGTTAAAAATAAACCCTAAATAATATTTTATAGTAAACTATGTTGTTCATAATAGAAACATCCATAATACTCGTTAAACTAGATATTTATTTTATGGTAAATCAAAAAATAACAATTCTCAAAAAGAAATATGAACTTATTGTTACCTATACTTATTTTTTTTAATTTTAGGATTTTATAAACAATTAATACATGTTCATAGATATTTCTACTTTTCATCATTATTTAAAAAAATAAGTTCAATGAATCTACTACTTACACACATTTAATTATTTTAGTTAACAAAATAATCTAACATTATGGAGAAAATAATCATATCAATATATCATATAGTCACATAGTAATTATTAACTTACTAAATAAAATTAATTAACTTGAATAAACTTAAATATTTTAAATATTCGTATTTCTAAGTTTAAGTGGTGTAAATTAAAAATATGAATATAATAACATATTGATATGATTTACTCAATATTTATTGTAACTTAATTAAAATAAAATTTGATTGTTTGTAGAATTTAAACTCAATAATAAATATTTATATAAAAAAATACGTCAATGATAGTTATTTATAACTATTAAATACCAAGTCATATAAGTCTAAAATGCAACATAATAACTTTGAAATTTTTTTATGTTTATTAAACACTTAATATTGTTCTCTATTCACCCTTTATTTATATTATTTTAATAGCCAATAACTCAATAAGTAATGTTTAAAATAAAAAATAAGCCCCTTATCAAAGGAACACGATGTTTTTTCATAGCCACCTGCCCGGAAGTAGTATTGTGTATAGTGGATAAAACTGTTCTGTAAGTTATATATTCCCTATACATCAAAATATTCACTGATCCATTTCGAAACTTTTCTATTTAGTTAACTATAGTTAGTATTATAGTAGTATTATGTACAACGAATAAAACTGTTTCTATAAATTATATAGGTACTCTCTATACATCAAAATATTCACTGATCTATTTCGACACTTATTATTTCTAGTTTTCTAGTTAAGTATAGTTATTGCTACTATTATAGTTGTGTATAAAAATCAACAATTTCTATTGATTAATATTGCATACCATTTGCTCATCGGAAATATCAATATTTTTAAAGTTTAGATACTAGATATCCTATTTACTCCTAATTGTAACTATTGTGTAAGGAACATAAATAGTTTTATAAGTAATAGTAATGTAGTATACAGTATACTAAATAGAATAAAATTATAATAAACTCAATGTAACACCAAACTCAAACACATAAAAAACAATAATAATTTGCAAAAATAAAAAATTAAATTCCAAAAATTAGGTTGACGATAAATTTGTATTAACATAAAGAAGCTTAGAACACTTTGAATTCTTTGTATTAACACGATACTAGGTATAATTACAATCAGACTATATATTTAATGATAAATTAACAAAAAGTAATATAGGTAATTGGAATTTTTATTATTTATTATTTTTATTGACTATCTATATTATTTTTATTTTATAATTTATAATATTAGTTTTCAAAAATGTGTTATTATAATACCAACTCAATTATAATTATTAATTTGTTTTGCTTATTATAGTTGGTTTCTCTGTATTATGTACAAGCAATTTACAGTTTAATTTTTAAACAGTACAATTTTCTACAGTCAAAATATAATTAGGTACACAGATTAAGAAAAAATAAGTAATGATAAAATACGCTTGCTATTTACGAGATAAATCTGATAATGATTTATCTATGAAATTAAATACAGTTTAATATCGTAAACACGCGGGTACATCATAAATATTTTAATAAATGTGTAAAAATGATAAAAGTGAATAATAATTTGCGATAAAAAATATAATATTTATCTATAACAGTTTTTAAACTTCGAAATATTTTATTTGTAGGGTCATTCGAAATTTATTGTGAAATTAAATTCAAAAGAATATAGGAATGACGCCGCCTAAAATCTAGTAGTCTAAATATAGCTACGTCAGGAACATATTATAGTCGAGCAGGCGCTTATAAGCAATGCATTAAATCGCTATTTTTTTATGACAATAATATCTGTGTAGTTAAAGAATGATACTCGAATTAATTCATTTTTTTTTTTTTTTTTTGAAAAAAAAACGGATATTTAAAATAAATAAGAAAATGATTAAATTCAAAATATTGCTCATTTTAATAATTTTTAAAAATATGATAACGTAAATATTTAAGTAGGTACTATCTATTTTTTTCCTATTAAAAATGTGTTTTTAACACATAAAGATTAAAAATATTAATTTTGAAAATTTTTAATCGAATAGACGAGATGTTTCTTACTCATTAGATAAGAGTAGGCATTTACTTATTGTATAGGTTTAATATTGGTCTAAAAGTGATTTTATCCTAATTCGTATATCATTCCAATTAAAAAACAAAACAATAAAATAAATAAGCTAGGAACTAAAACTAAGAACAAAACAACGAATAGCCAATAAACAGAGGATAAGATGCTAGTGGCCCATTTTTAAAAATATATTTAAAAAAATATTTTTATGAATGTATTTTATCACTATTTTAATCATCATCTGTGCAAAACCATTTCTCACACAGCTACACCGCTGCTATATTGATGTATAGATTTTTGGGTCATTTAAATTTCACAAAATATAATATCACTTAAAGTTTTATCTTATACAGTTATACCCTTCATATTGTTTATTACCCTAATAATTGTTTATCTATTTTAGTTATTGTAAATATTGTTTTTATTACCTATTATCTATATGCTTCTATATCTTGCCAAATTCTTTAAGACATAATTATAACAAATAAATAAATCCGAAATATAAATTTGAATCATAAACTTGATACGTCCATATAATTTTTAATTTCTTTAAGTATAAATACGCATGTACCTAAAAAGTAAAAATAAATTATTCAATGTCACAGGAACATAGTTTTGAGGGACTTTGCCCTTGTTCCTTAGCTTCTCTTCACCTCCCCATTGTTGTCACTCATATAAACTACAACTTATAGTATATGCGTGATTTAAATAAGCTCGTATTTAATAAGTATTTGTTTTTAAATTTGGATCCCTAAATTTATTATATTGGTGGTCGTATTCGAACGGTAAGGTTCTTACTTAACACTCGCGTTGTTGAGCCACGGACGGACGTGCAAGACACGAGGTGTTGCGATCGACAGTGGCGCTGCGAGCGGCCAGGATCAACTGCGCGGTCGATAATATGTATATAATTCATGATATAACAAAATCGCGCTGTGGTAGGGATCGCGCCAAGAACAAAAGAACAGAGTATGCTACACGCAGCCGATCGCGGTCCTCTTGTCGTCGCTTACAGCACTACTGCAGCAAGTAGTTCGCTTGATCGACGCGTGTACATACGGTCGTACAGACACGAAAAAAAATACGAACAAAAATAATATATGGTTTTTCGAAATCGTTGTTTTGCATACAAAACATAATACAATTATTTCGGATTAGTGTTACGCTAATATTGACTAATTACAATTTTTTTTTCTATTTTTTCTCCTCCGTTCGCGTATTTCGTTTTGATGTACAACGGCAGTCAGTGGTGCACAAAAGTTTATCAGATCAGGATTCTTTCGCAGTGCCGGGACAAAGGACTCGAGCCAGGGGACTGAGGATACAAAGTCAAGGTCAGGTCAAGTTTTCAAACCATATAGAAAAAAAGGTTCCCAAACACTTCACAATAATATATTATAATTTATATCCATACACATTCACTAAATCCCATATATGAACGACTATTGTTATCTTCATAAATACTATACAACTATACTAAATATTACATTCCCGACGGAGTTGGATTTTAGTTGAATTCGTTCACACTCCTGCAGAACTATACGTTGATGACACTATTATAATATGATAGCGCTGTAATGAGTGATATTTTCACTATAGGCAAAACGATTTTATCTTTTTATCATATTAACAATTTGTCTATTCAGTATTTTATTATATATTATAAAATACAGACAAAACTTAATAATCAATAATCTATTTTAAATCATACAAAAAAAGAAAAATCATGACATCTCATCACCAACTATAAATTTTTTTATTAGGGTCGATCACGTGCTCGTTTAGACTTTTTACTATGTATTATGTTACCATGCCTCTGGATACCTATAATCATATCTATTTATTCATATTTTTCACAGTATGGATCGCATTGACCTTAGATTGATTCTATACAAATATAAAATTATACTTTTATAGCAATATAAATATATATATAATAAATATGCGCTATTGCGACGTTCAAAACGAAAATTTATTTTAAAAACAATAATAACTAGCCCAATTTCTATTAATAAATTGTACACCGTTGTAATATATTTTTATCGAATACCCAATAAATGGTTCGTAAACTGTCTAATTTAACACAATATTAATGTAATACTTAAACAGTTTAGTGGAAAATTGAAAACGCGATGAGCCTACCGCGTACGTTTTAATATAATTCGTCGTAGATGGTATCGCGTGGGGGGAGAGGAAGAGCCATCGCTGCCGCCGCCTCCGCCACTGGGTCACCCGCCGGCCATTACCCCCGCCACCACCTCCTCACCGAAACGGTTCAGCTGTTTTTTATTTACAAACACGACAACGAGCACGACGGAACAATAACAATAATACTCACGACCCGTTCCGGTGCGTGCGTGAGCGAGCTTGGTCGCGTGAGGGGGGAGGTCCGAACGCGTTGTGATATTATTATTACGTCGTAATTCGATTACGCGTACTACTCATAGAACACTGTAAATTGTAATACACCGCCGCGGTTTTCGAGGTCGACTAGATTGAAAAACAATGCGTTGTAATATTTTTAAAATACATATTTTATCGTAATAAAGTTATTGTAATTTATTAATTACTATTTACTATGATGAACGATGATACTCGATTGATCGTGAGCACCGCGCCACCACTTGACCGCCCCGCGAAAATAAAATTGACGTAGCTACCAAAAATATATATTTGAATTATTTGATATTATATTGTAAATTATATTATTTATCTCCGCGTCGGCATCGTACTCGCGAACCAGGGTATATAGACCAGACGTTTGGAATTATCGACGAGACTTGGCACTAAGCGATTTTCCGCGGTTAGGTCATTCAAATTTTGTGTACCCACCCCACCTGCGCGTTTACCAATGTCCCCGATTTCCTACCCATAGATTAGTACACTGATTATGCTTACCGCTTCATTTCCACGGGAATACCGAGCATGTCATAAGGTAATAATATACAATACATCTAATAGGATAGGATTCAGAATTTTGCTACGCAAAACGGCGGTTTGCACTGTAGATAGTAAAGTTAATTATAACTGCACGACTACACGTAATATTAGTATTATTATATATAATATTATGTAGAGGTCGACAATCGTTGCGAAACGGTTTTTCGATGAATTGATGAACAAATAATAAAACATTGTGAATATTAATAGATTTTTGTAACTATTACTCTACCTAATGAATAGAATAGTAGTTTTACGTTATTATAATGTTTTGCAACTAATCCATTCGGATAAAATGAAAATTATTATTAATTATTAAAATATGTGTAAATGTGTTATCACTGTTAATTTGTTTATTTTTTGATTATACAGTCACGTTTAATCAATATACCAAAAAATTATAAAATATTATAACATTAATTAATTATTATTCCTGCTATAAATGTCTATTTAAGTTGACAATATTTGAGATTCATTTGTAACGTATAAGAAAGATAAAGTAAAAATAAATAAATAAAATAAATTTGATAAAGTAAGATAAATATGTAGAAATAAATTTTGGAAAAAATAGGAATGCTGCGGTATGAAATGCAAAAAACTACTTTTATAAATTTACGTAATTTCGGTCGATTTCGTAAGAACAGGATTATTATACGACGGTCGACGTTGGTAATATTCTTTACCATCTAGATAAATATTATATGTTACAATTATCGTAATTCTCTCGTAGTTTGGTATCATATTATTATTTTTTATGTAAAAGTATAAACATATCAATATCAACTTTCTTTAATCGGGTTAAAAAAAAATGTATTATGGTACAAATTAAATAAAAATCGAATCATAATAAATGTGTTGTAACTTGTAATTATACCAACTAAAAATAACTAAACTCAAATAAATAGATTTTTTTAGAAAATATAGTTATTTAAGCACAAAGTGAGAATGAAAACATATTATGACGAATTGCAAAATGAAGAAAAAACTAAAATTTACTTTAAAAAACAATACCTAATATATAAAAACAGTTTATTTAAAATTAAAATTCAATGGTCAGTCCACTATTTTTCTTATTTCTTTCATCCTTAGTCTATTATTGTTTAATATTTCCACACCTATAATTATATTCATTATCAACTCTTATAATTCCTTCATTAATTTTAAATATTAAAATATTTGATATAAATAATTACAAAACATATTATAATATTTAAATGTTATATTGTTGTGTTTTATATTTAAAATAAGTTTTGAGCAATAAATTATAATAGTAGGTATTACTAGTTGATAATAAAAATGAAGTAATAGGATTCAAAACTCAAAATTATTAAATATTAATGCTAATCAAATAATAGTTTCTATTTGTATACAATTTAGATAACATAAATCATAATAATGGATAATAAAGATATATAATTCTATGATATTTACATTAACGTGTGTCAATGTCACTATTATAGATTATCTACGTTATAATACAATTATTATCATAAACTATTGTATAAAGTTAAACTTCTTTAAAAAACAAATTATTTTTATTCAGATAAATGATAATTGATAAGGACTAAAGATAAAAATAGGAAATACATAATTGCAGAACAGAAAAATAGTATTTCAAAGAGACATTGTAATATACATAATATATATATATATATTGGGTTTAATACTAAGCTTAATAAAATTAATATATTATATACATTGGAAAGTATCATATAATAATAATTATTATTATTATAAAATAGTTAGCATACTAATTTTTGTTGCAATATTTAATAAATAAAAATTAAGATTCATTCTAATTAATGTATTGTAATCATTACACGAATTAATTATTATAATAAACATATATTGTAATTTAAGAATATATATATTTAAATATTAAGTAAAAACAAATAATTTAATTTAATTTGTAATCAAATCAAATTATTATTCTTCTCCCAACTACGTGTAATAAATAATAAATTCAATAACAATTCTCATCAAAATATGTTTAATTCACTAGATTATTTATATTTATTTATATAATATACACAGGGTGTATCAAATAACAGTATAACATTTTAAAACTTTCAGTCAATGTACAACCACATTATTTAAATTTTTTACTAATTGAAACATCATTCTACCTTGAACTCATTGACATTGACTAAACGTGTATTTTATACAAAATCCTAAAATGATTATTTTCACTGTTGTGTATTGTACGTGAACAATAATAACATAAACATAATAAAAAGTCAATTTAGTATTTACCATTTAGCACTTTAAATATATAATTTATTAATACCGTTTAATGCTTAAAACTTAAATCTCTAAATAGATGATGTTGATAATAATATAATATATTATATTAATGTATGATTTTTGTCTTTTATAGAAAATAAGTATTTTTGTTTAAAATAATTGTATCGATAAATTATAAATTATAATGTTTATACTCAAACATTAACAGTTATAGTTGAATAATTTTTAAATCTAAAAATAAAAATTGCATTTTAGAAAAAAATAAAAAAACAATGAAAAATATATTATGATATTTCAAAACGCATATTTAAATATTAAATACGTAACTCTGTTATAAATATAACCTGAAAAATTATACATTATTATTATAAGTGTTTGAGAAATGCAAATTTGGTTATATAATAGTTTAAATTAAGAATGGAATGATAATTAATGCAATTAGTATTTTATGATTCTTAATACAATAATTTACACTGTCTTATATACACCAAAATAAAGAATAATTTTTTTTTTTTCGTTAATCATTAGATATTATCATAACTTTAAATCTACAGCCATACCTAAATATTAAACAGACAATTTTTCACTTACTTAAGTTTATTTAAATATGATAATTGGTTGAAATTATTATAAAAACAGAAGATTCTTACTTATTTAAATGTTTTCAAACTAAATAACATTTCAAATAAATATTTAAATAAAAATACATACGGGTATTAAAATATATTATGTAAGGTATTATTAAGATACTTACATATAGAGAACCAAAATGTCAACCACGATTACACTGGTAGGCTTTCTTTGTGTTGACAATATGTTAAGTGAAAAATATATATAATCCACAATATTAAGAAGATTATCATATAATATAATAAAGTAATAATGCAAGTCATATAAATTATTTTTGTTTCTTTATTTTATAGAAACGAAATGAACAGTGATCACGAATTAAATTTAAATACAATAATAAACTGTATTTTAAAATTAATAATTGTATTTCAATTGTATAGTTGTATAATAATGATTAGTTTGTGAAGAATTAGTGACGTTATCAAATATTACATATTATTATTCCTGGACTTTATCCAAACATAATAAGTAAAATCATGTTAAAAATATAACAATAAATACAGTTATATTTTATAATATAACATAAATTATTTTTTGAACACATGGTAATAGGCAATAGCTAATATTATATAGTATTTACACGACGTAATAATCTTAAGATGTTTACTGATTATAGTAATAATTCCCCAAAGTTGTATGTATTTTTTTGTTAGGCTATAGAATATAAACTATAATGACTGTATCATTTAAGACTCATCATTATAATTATATCGCTATCGTGTACAATATATGCGTATTGTACCTTGTTATATTATAATGATCTCCCTCCGGGTTTGTACATACTACTCATACAAGTTACAACATATTGTAATACATACAATATCTTTATAGTTAACAGCAAATGTAAGAATGTTTATTTATTACGTATGAGTATAAAACTATCAGTTTTAATTGTAAATGGTAATTTAAGTTGATATCTAATATGATATTCTCAACACCAATGATATCGTAGCGGAAGACCAGAGTATCAGACATGAGACACCTGTCGGTTTTGTACATTAATAATTTTATTCCATTTTATATGATAAAATAAATACATATATATGTATATTATATATGCAAAAAAGAGAAAGAAAGAAAGACAGAAATAGAGGGAACACGTGGAAGACGAAAATACAAATACAGTAACGGACTCGGGAATTCTTTTTTTAACCAGCTGGGTGACAGACCTCTTTTGTCCTATCCATATACACAAACCAAGGACAATACGCGGTGGTATGAGGAACCGTTCTGGTCAACGGTTTCCCTGTCGGTATTATTCGCGTGAAAAACTAATGTAACGCTGTTTTTTCGGAAAATTTAACATGATTCGGTGAAAATTAATGTTTAAAGAATAATAGTTTTTTATATAATAATATAATAGGCAGAGGTACCTGACTTGCGATACTATTAAATGTTAACCGTTTATTTGAAACGTTCAAAGTTCAAACCATAATTTTACCGAATGTGCGATTTTTTTTAAACTTCAAATGGTAGGCGCATCGCTATAAAAAAAAGTATCACAGTATAAATATACTTGTATAATACATTTAAATTTACAATTTAAGTAGGTATCTTAGTACTGGCGGCATTACTATAACTAGCAGCTATCAATATTATGTGTGTATTGATATTGATTAATCCTTAAATATTTTATTATTATAATATTGTTAGTAATATTTGTAGGTATCTTCTTTTTTCGTTTAAAGTGTGAATTCCCCGTCGTCGTCTCAAATGTAAATAGCCACGTGATCTACTAACCAATATCTAAACCTTTAGGTTCAATTTGGAAGTAGTGTCGATGGACGCCCCCTTCCCTTAATCCGTCATGTCAAAAATCCTTTGATATCCCATTTACTTATTGTGTTATTATGTATACAGATTGTAAATAACTTTTATAAATAATAAAAAAAAAAAATGTCGTTTATGAAAAAAAAAGTGTGAATTTAAAATACAATTTTAAAAACTAGCATAAAAAATTATGACAAACAACTATAAAGTTGTTTCAATATTTTTTAAACTGAAACATTTTTATTCATGATATATTGGTCTATTTTCATATAAAATGGTAACATATAAATCACGTTTCGTTATTTATTTTTAAAAATCGTTGTATAGAAAAAATGATGATAGTATAAGGTAAAATAATAAATTAGTAGGACTTAAAAACAATTTCAGCAATTACATTCCTATTAATAGTAAAGAAATGGGTAATTACACACACTGAAAAACGGATTGGTATCTATAATTTTCAAATAAGTATAACGCAGTACCATAGTTAAATAAATGTATAAAATACAAATTATGCCTTTTAACTTATAAGTCATAGTTTGTAATTTGTATACATGTTCTTTGTATTATATGTTTAATATTACATTAGTTGTACCCAAGTTATATTTTAATGTAGTTCAACAAATTATACAGCTATATAAAACAAAGAAATAAGTGATACTTGTTTAATAATAAATTTACTGAATAGTTAAGCTTGCAAACTTATGTAGCGATGTTCATATTATTTTTAATTATTCACCAATTAATTTAATATTTATTTTTCTTTTTACGATATTTCTATTAAACTTTAAATAAAAGTAAAAATAAACAGTCAAGATATATTTAAAAATCGTTCAAACACAATAGTGTCTTTAATTTACTTTTCTCATTATTCCATCCATTAAATACTTTTGTATATTTAAATCTCATTTATTTACATACGTGTATTCAACACTCTTTTCATATAAAAACATTAAAAATCTATATTGATTACGTATTGACGTTTAACAGATAATTTTCACCATTCTCTTCCATAAATACTTAGAATGGATTAGCGAACACAAGTAATTTTTATGTGGAAATTAAAAAAAATATGAACAATATCCAACACTAAAAATCACAATAAGGATTATAGTAAACAGTTAAAATTCTCACACCTTCGTGTAACATAGTTAATTTAAGTTATTATATACTATATTCTTCTTTAATGTATTAACAATTAATCATTTTTTTTTTTAAATAATGTCTACATATTTTATTTTTAACCAGCCACGAATTATTTTTAATTATTAAATGTGGCCTGAGAGTCAAAAATGGTTCTCGACCACTAAGTATGAATTATATGATTAAGTATGAATAAATATAAACTGCAAGTATTAGAATCATAGAGTTTTTACAAAAAAACGTTTACATGTTTACCGTTATCTTTATACATTATAACCTACTGCAAAATCTGTCATTTTCAATAAATCAAATTTTAGTGGAGTAACACTTTTGAATAGTAAATTATATATATTAAGATAAATGAAGCAAATTTTGGTTTTATATATTTTAGTGACAATAAAAAATGCAGAGGAGGACAGACGTCGACCAATTAATATACAAAACTATAGTTAATACTTGATATACAATATATCTATATACATTATGAACAATCGTTTAGGCACATAAACGATGCCATCTGGCTTTGACTTATACAATGACAACACAGGTTTCTGACCCGATCACAGGTCGTGTACCTTTCCGGGTTTAAGAGTAGCATAAAAGACAGAGTTTTTTGAGATCACGATTTTGTTCATATTATATACGCGTAGGTACTACAAGATATTATTGTGTACGATTATTAACAAATATATTATATTATATAGGCAGTAAGTCATATTTTGAATTGTAATGTAGCCGATGAATAGGTCACAAATATAAATGTTATTTGAATATATTATCCTAAGGCATTAATAACAGTTCATTAATTTTGTAAACGTCTAAAAAACATGCTAATATACAATTATACAAATTAATATTACTTATTTTAATACAACATAATTTAAGTATAAGACAAAGCAAAGTCTGTAGAGTTCATATACACATAGGTATTGGATAAACATTTTTTTTACGACTTTAAAGTAAAATTAAATCATTTGTTTTAAAAAACGGTAAGGAGTGTATTATAAGATAAATACATACTGTGTGTTATTTAAATGTTACTATATAAACTAAATTTTTAAAAATCGAGTAACTCACTTTGTTATATAGTAGAGGCCAAAAATACCTCATAATTTAGTAGATCACTGTAATGGATGTGCCTAAATTTAATTGTCAAGACCAATAACAAAAAAAAAAAACTAAAATATCATAAAGACTTTACACTATACTTTTAATTTTAAATATTTAATTAAATTTATAAGCTCAATCAATGATTTTATAAGTACTTAGGTTTTTGTATGTGTTTATTTTATATGAGAAAATTTTGTTTTAAAATTATATTAAAATAATAATAGTAAAATCAATATTTCACAAAATAATTAATAGCCAATGTTTGAAAAATTTTATTAAAATTAAATCCATATTTTTAAATTTTTTGTTAGAAAAGTTAAACAATCTACACGTTATTAATACAATAAACCGAAAATATATTTATTTGTTTTTACAGGCGCATAGGCTTAATAGTTAAAAGACAGACCATTCAACAGCAGCATTTCGGTAAATAAAACATAATTAGAAAATAAACAATTTTTATTACATACCTTACAGTAGCACCGGACCTAAGGAGAGAGGCAATCCGGGGCACGTGCTCTGGGCGCTAGTCTTAAAGGGGCGCCAATTCTATATTTTGCTCCAGATTAGATCCGGCACTGCCTTACAGATACAAATTATATTATAGTTAATAGGTAGAAATATGTTATAAAATGTAATGTTTAGTTTATGTGTTACGCAAAGTATAATATAATACTATGTTTACAAGTTATTAAATATGTATAAGTAATTTAAAAGAAATATTATATGCTATGCATTCTTTCAATTTATAAAACTTATTATTATGTAATAAAAATCGGTTAGCATGAATGCAATTCAATGGTAACCCCGCGGTCTATACAATTAATGCACACTGCAAAATTGACGGCCATTATTTATTAAATCCTTTTTATTCGATATATATTACTTATTTCAATGAGTTAAATCAAAACAATGATACAAATATACGTACATAGTACAAATGATTATAAATAAAAATTGATAATCAATGATAGAACATATTATTACTTATTAATTCATTCCACGTGCACCACAGACGCGAGCGCATCGGTCTCGTGCAACCGATTCTGGTTTACAACCACAATGATGATTCTAAAATGATCTGCTAAAGCTCGTCGAGAGCACCTCGTAAGTCTCAAGTTGTTACAGCATTTACAATTTTCCGTTGAGCGTGACATAACCATTCAAGTTTCAACCTGTGAAATGCGGCCATATACTTAAAAATAACTAATAATGATGATTTGTTGCAAATGTATACATCAGTTTACATCTACAAGCGACTATAATAATTATGTTACTATAATATAGAACCACTAGTTGTTAAGAAATTAATATATAATGTATTTCTGTATCATTTTATCACTTTATCACTAATCAATGGTCTTACCAAATTAATTGTGAAAAAACGAAATTTATCCACTTCAACGTGTACTCTTAAGTGAAAGTTTTACATCAATATATTGTAAATATTTTGTGCATCACAAATTTACGATATTTACCTGTATAGTTTCAAGGTTTTGGCACAAACCATTATCATCTACAACTGGTTAGGTGTAACTTAAATACTTATTTAATTCTAGGTGTATTTCAACATTTGGTTGATATTTAAATCAGTAGAAAAAAATAATGATTATTTTTTGCAGGTCATGGTGCAATGTAATACATTGAATATTATAAATATACCTATGAGCACAATACCTAACTTTTCAATAGCATCTTTATGCATTCTTATTGAACTATTTTAAAAATGAATTAAAATACTTGACAGTTACAAAATTTATTCCCAGATCCTTATCTTGTATGTTGTTTTTAAATAAAAGTTTAACGAAGATATTATTTTGATTGTAGAATATTTAAGCAAAACAGGACGAAAAAATAGTAGTTACCATGCCGTCGCTTTTAGAGGCGATCGTAGAGAAGTACGAATGTTTTGAAGATGATACATTCGATCAGATGCCTATAGCAATATATGTGCCACGTAAGAATCCCAGGAATATGATACCTAATTTATTGGTATTAAATGACTGTGACATTGATTCGGCCGGACAAGAATCTGACTTGAGAGATAAATGTCATGGTGTTGAAGAACTGGATTTAGCTCAGAACTGTTTGTCTAGATGGAGTGAAGTAAGTCCTGTATAAACTTTACTAATAAAATAATTAATAAATTAATAGTAGAGTTGTTACCTTTTCGTGTATCCGTCTTTCGATGTAACTAGGTAGGTATCTACTACGCAATACGCATTACATCAGAATTTTATTATATAATATGATTATTTATGTTTTTTTAAAATTATTTTTATTTGATTTTACTCACTGTTACACTTGGAGATCAGTACACAGGCACGAACAGACGAATCAGCCTAGTACTAATTTAAGTCTAATCAGTGCACAATTTTGACAATGGTGTAATTTTAAATCAATATGATAATTGACAATATACGAGTAGCTTTTACTAAAATAAATATTACACATGTTATTCAAAGATGATATACATATTTTGTGGCGGTATAATATGATTTATCAACAAATAACAACTTTGAAAGAAAAAATATTCGATAGTCTAATAAAAAATGAGATAATATTTCTTGATAAAAACTTCGATATTTATGATATTAGCTAAAAATATTTTAAAATAGCAAAGCATTTCAACCAAAATATTATAATTTTAAAAAAAGTTCTGTTTATATTTAAATGTATTCATTTTGGCCTTTGTATAAAAATAAATAGATTAAGTCAAATCATTTTTCCCTATTATTATTATTTTTTTTTGTCTTAGGGAATATTATAAACATTTTCCAGAAATGCAAAATAGCACTATGTTAAGAATATTAAATTATTTTTACTAAATTAATTTCAGGTGTTCAAAATATTACATATTATGCCGAGACTGAAATTTGCCAACCTAAGCTTTAACAATTTAAGTTCAGATATAAATAGTGCAATTGAGGTTTGTGACGACAATGGAGAAACATACCCGTGCTTGAAGAGTATCGTACTAAATTCAACAAATATTACGTGGCGCAGCTTTAGACACATATTGAAACGAATACCCATGTAAGTTTATTTCAATTTAAAAAGGTTGAAAATTACTTATGTTAAAATACTCCTGTAGGGTCGAAGAAATTCACTTGAGTATGAATAATTACGATGTTATTGATTTGGTAGACGACGAAAATTGTCAGCATATTCAAATGCCTTCAGTGAAAAGGTTACATTTTACAGGTAAACTCTAAACTTATGAATCCTTATTATGTATGCTATTAGTATAGTTACTAAAAAATATAATTAATTACAATACCTACTTACAATATAATAATCTCTGGTAATTACTTGTTTAATATTAATGCATAATAATTATTAATAACAATTATTGTAATACATTTACAGGAAACCCTGTATCTACGTGGTCTGAAGTATGTAAATTAGGTCGAGCATTTCCAAATCTTGAATCGTTGGTGCTTGCTGAATGTCCTTTGCAGTCGCTCATGACTCCACCACCTTCACCAGATTCTCATCTAGGCTTGTTATCCTACCCAAGACAAGGGAGTGGATTTTGTGGTAAGTTTTAAGAAAAAAATTACAAAATTTTATTATAACCATAACATTTTACTCTTAAGATATGACGTTGGATTCACCACACGATGCATTTACTCATCTCAGATTTCTAAACCTAAACAGAACCTTAATTAGAACTTGGGACGATGTTGACATCCTGGGACGATTCCCTGCATTACGATACCTCAGAATACAAGGCTGCCCAATATTTGAAGTAAGTGATTTTTATTTTTTTTTAATTTCTTGATTATAGGTCTAATTGTTTCTATTTTAGGAAAATTCTGAAAGACAAGAATACACCGAACACGAACGCAGACAGTTGCTAATTGCAAGATTAACATGCATACAAACCTTAAATGGTGGAGCAGAAATTACAGCTGATGATAGAGAAGATGCTGAACGGTTTTTAATTAGATACTACATGGATAAGCCAGAAAATGAGCGACCAGAAAGGTAAAATATATTAGATATTAAATATTAAACTCAAAAACATTATTTAACTAATTTTAATCTGAAAATATTTTAGGTACAATGAATTGGTTCAAATTCACGGAAAACTTGATCCTTTAGTAAATATAGACTTGACTCCTGAAAGTAAAGTTCAGGTGAAGATTATTTGTGGTGACAAGTGTGAACAACATATTTTGGATGTCTATCAGACAGTATCTGAACTCAAACAAAAATTGGAAAAATTTTCTGGTATACCAGCACACCGTATGCGAGTATTTTATATGGATCAACATGTGTGTTCAGTTATTGGTCCTGAAGAAATGAAGTTTCCCAATAAAAGATTATACAGTTACAACATAGTTAAAGGAGATCAAATAATAGTCGACTCAAAGAAATGAAGTCTTTCACGAGTGTATGATAAAAAAAACTGTGAACTATTCAGCGATTAGTGACCTGTGATATAAAGATATTAAATATACTTGAATACACAATGTTATGCTTAGTTTTATAATTTTTAAATTAAACTTAATTATTATTTTTATACACTAGTCAGTAGAAGAGAGTACAAGTTTCCAATGTAGGTGATTAAATATTTAAAAACTATAATCTTATTGTTGTAATCTTGGAGACTTGTACTTGTTCTGCTTGAGTACACAAAAATATGTTTTAATCAAAACCAATCAAATATTTACAGTATTACATTTAAAAAATATGTACCATAAAATGTATATTTTTAATTCAAGACTTAGTATAATTATTTAGTTTTATGATTGGACTTTACTATGTAATACTAATACTAGATGTAATTCAGTGTTTTAGAAAGATGAAGACTCATTTACTTAATTATAAGTTATAATTAACAATTAAATTGAACTGTATTATTTTTTTCCTAAATATATATTTTTGCTAATTTACGCTCTTAAACAAGAATTAATAATAATCACAATATTAATCCTTCAAAGTTTTATTAATCTTGCTCATCATCTAAAACCTAACTAAATGCTCAATTTTTTTAATTAAATTGGTACTTCATATGTATACCTAGTACCTATATAAAGCATAAGACAATCCACCAAAGTAATTTCTTCAATTTAGAAGTTTACTTTATTAGATTATACTATGAATTTTAAATTTAATTAATAATACTTAATTAATTTATATATTTTTATTTTAAAATGGTTTTACCTGATTTTTTTATCTACTGAACAAGGATCAAAACGGTCGTAGAGCAGGTTAAAAAGTTCAAATAATTATCTACTTGTATTAAATAATGAATTGGCTCGGTAAGCCTACTACTGAATTTGACTAAGTGGTCTTAACTTGTTACGACCCATAAGCCAATCAATTAGCCCAAAAAATGCTACAGATGAACTTTCTACTGTGCCCATACATATTTTTTACAAGACCTTAAATGAATAGATTTTTAATAAAGTGTAAGTATATAACTAATAAGTAAACTAATCATAATTTTATGATTTTCTAATCGTTTAGATTTAAATTAATAATATAATGATCTTAATTTACAATATTTTAGGACAATTAATTTTTTACACGATATTAAAAATAATTTGAGCAAATGAAAAGCATGAACTGAATTCAGCAGATAAGTTAGTATTTAATTGATTTTTATCTAATTTGACTTACAAATTAATAATGTACTGTTTTAGAGTTCTTAGCGGAATAAAAAAAAAATTTAAAGTACCTATTTATTAATAAATTATTCTCGATATTTAAAAAATTAAAAATAATAAATTATTATGCAATATACATTACTCCCTTAGGCCTTAATAGTTAAAACACAACCAAACAGCAGGTAAAAAGATTATTATTTATTATTACTTATACAGTTATACGTGATATTATCTGATAACCGTCTACGGTACACGCCGCGCGATCTATGAGAGTACGAGACGTGTTTAAATTAATTACACCGTCTAAAACCTAACCTTTTAAAAAAGTAATAAGTGTTAACTTAACTGACTTTGAGTCATAGACTTTACACGCAGTAAAAGTTCTACGCTTAAAGTCTGTTATTTAGTACAAGCACAGAATAGATATAAAAGTTTAGATAATATATTATCTAAGAGTTGAAGTAATTTCATAATCTATGGTGAATGGTGACTACATGATACATACATACCATATAGATTACAGACTACTGACTTCGACTCGTTCAATCAACGACTGTAACACTGCATGAACTACTCACGAGACATTAATATATAAAAGGTACCGTAGACACCAATTAGCTATTCAAACTATCAACTATGTAAATTGTTTGATACATTTACTAATACACAAAACAACATGATAATGACCATAATATTTTAGTACGAGTACAATCTTAGATAATTTATTAGTATAAAATTGTGATTAAAATATTTTGTTTATTTTATTTAAATTTTTTTTTCTTAAATTTAGGACAAATAAAAATGGCAACATTGGACTTGGATGAAGAATTATTAAAAGATGAAGAGTTAGTTACGAATATTAAAAATTTAGACCATTCAATTGTAAATATTGAAACATTACTTGAATCACGGATGAGTACAGACTATAACTCTCTGTCAGTGGAAGAAAAAATTAAGCATGATCTACTAATTGCATTTACATTAAATAGTTTGTATTGGGTTTACCTGCGATTAGGTGGTAATGATCTGACTACTCACAATATAAAACGAGAATTAAATCGTGTAAAATCAACTATGGATATGGCTAAAAGTGCTCTAGGCAAAAAAAATATGCTAAGAGTTGATAAAAAAGCTGCTGAAAGGTTTATCGACCATGCTCTTTGGACACCAGATAATAAGAAACGTAGGTCTCAAAATATGGAAACATCTAATAAGAAAATAAAATTTGATGAAAATGGTGACCCATCAAATTAAAATAATCTTAGATAATTTTATTTTGTGATATTTTTTATTATATTATAAATTTATAATAAACCAAAGTATTGAACTGTAGTTTAGTGTTACATATTTTTTTATTATTTGTCTTGTGATACTTTAAATTTTGATAAGGTTGAATGTCAATATAGAAATTAACTATTTTAACTTAAATTGGATAAACTACTAAAATATACACAATGCATTAATTCATTAGCAGCAGTATGTATAGTTACATATTTTGTTTCAACACTAAAGTTAGTAACTTTGTTTTCATTTAATAATTTATACATTTATACTTTTACGGCGTATTTTCCTAGATAAGTTTAAATGTAATAAAGTTTTGTAATTTAAAATTTAAAAGATCATCAATTTTTATTCAATTTGATCTATATTTTTTCTAAAAATATTTTTATTTATTGAGACAGAATCTCAGCTGATTAATTATTGCATATGTATTTTGTAATATCTTAAAATTCAACAATTTATTTGTTAATCTAACAGTCAAGTTATAAAATACAACATAATAGGCAAAAACAAAACTAAATCACCTGTTTTCAATATGAGAATATTATTTTTAATGTTATTAAAAAAAATAATCTATAAAGTGTCTATTGTTTTGTTTGCTTTAGCATTTGATATAATATTACAATTTATGAATGGTACTTTTTAATTTTCATATCTTTTTATCTCTCAATTGTCATAATTTTATTCTGCATTTGATATTAGTGTATATTCTATTTTATTGTCCTTGTGATTATTAAAATTATTTATGATTTCCACAGATCTTGGATAACTATTTAACAAATTTTTTATTTTGCGTACAAAATCTAATTCAAATATTTACCAATTGGTTTTTTTTTTTAAATTATTTATACAATATATTTAAGATCTTCAAGTTATAACAGTCAACTACCAACTATAATGAATTTGTTCGAATTAGTTTTCCAAGGTTGCTTTTATGTTTGAAAATATAATATACACATAGAATATTATCCTATAACACTATAATCATTAACATCAAAATAATTACTTTTTTTAAAATAAATTATGATCCAGCCAAAGTGTTTCAAATAAATTTTGACCTAGAGTCCTCGTATTCCAAATGGAAATTCTTTAGGAAATTCAGTTGCAACCATAAATAATCGTCAAAAAACCAGCATTGTTGCATAGCAGCTATTAGATGATTTTTTTTTCCAATTAACCATACAATTGAATTTCATTAAAATCATTTAAAATTTCATGAAATGAAATAATTTACCTTAAAAATAAGAATTACAAAACAAAATGTTTCATAGAATTATATAAATATATCACGTTGATTATAATATGTAGGCATATAAAACAATTAACTACTTAAGTATTTATTTTCATCATCAAATAATTCACAAAATTTTTCGTCTGTAATTGGCGAATAAAGTGGATAAATTATGTCAAACCGTATAATTATGTCACCACGTTTTGATGGAAAATTCATATCGGGCATGCCTTCGTTGTGAATTATTTTAACGTAATTTTCTCTGGACATTTTAAAAATAACCAAGAAGTTGAACAATTTATAGGTATTGAAATAAAAGTTTATTTAAATTCTTACGTTATGCCTTCCGTGATATTTATTCTTAATACTTTATTATCTAATGTATTAATAACAATCCTGAAACCAAGTAATACTTGTTTCAACAAAACTTTTTGAACCACAATCAAATTCATATTTTCTCGTTTGAAAACTTTATGAGGTAAATCCTCTGTGGTAAATATGTATATAACTATTCAATGTATTATATAAAAATAATTTATCCTTTCTTCACTTCATATTCACAATGTAATATACAATACTTTTAATATTATCATGTCCTATATCCGGCTTTGATATCTCAGATTTTATTGTTCCTCCTGTAGGGAACCCACGTGGTATTTTTATTTTTAGAACTTGCTTTTCATTTTCCATTGAATCACAAAAAAAATTAGATTTTTTTTTAAGTTTAATCAATTTTATTGATCCATTAAAAATCTAAAAATTATTTGCTAGTTAATAATTATGTTAACAATTTTAATCATGTTTTTACATATAAAATTACTTCATTTAGTGTTAATTGAAGACGCAATTTCTCTATATCAGGTTTACCTTTGATTTTTTTTAAATCCATAACTACTAAACCATTTGATTTCATGAACAAATTGGTTATTGGATTATTAAGTGCACAATATTCTCTATAATTATATATATTATTAATATTATAAAATTAAAATTGAGAAATTAAAATCGTGGTATCATTTTAAACATAGAAGACATAGCTTTAAAGCTAATTTAGTCTCTCTAATTTAACAGTAGCTCTCCTTTAAAAAAAATTTTAAGACAGTATAAATGAATATTTTGTTTGATTTATTAGTGATATTATTATTAACATCATTTTTTAAAACATTTAAAAAAGTATGGATAGCTGGATCAGAGACATTTTAAATTATGAATAAATTACTTATAAAAAAATTTTATGCCTCTCCTCCAGATCTTTGTTCTGAATCCATGCCTGAACTGGGAATCTTATTATTAGTATTGTGAATTTTAAGAAAAATGTATTATTTGCTGATTATTGTAAAACATAGTTTCTTTTACATTATTTGGAATTTTTGATTTATTAGGTTTTTTTAATGAGCTAAGTTTTGACTTAAAGTTTAAGATTTCATTTAAGTAGTTTATGTTGAAACCAAAAAATATAAGAAATATTTAAGCAGTGTATTTTTTTTTTATAGTATTAACTATATTTATACTATATCTATAGTAATATCTTAAATCGTACATAACAGAAAATATAAGGGATTGATAGAAAAAAAAATATATATATATATATAGGTAAGAAAAGGAACTAATCTATTAAAAATATTAATTATTAATAATTTTTTAATCAACAATTAGTGGTTTTGAATTTTACAGAATATTGAAGTTTTTTTAGTAGTAACAAAAACATTTAAATAATACTAAATATTTATTTTTATGAGATTAGATTATATTTATACATTGAGTTATAAAGTTATTACTTATTATAATTAAAATGTTACTTTGAAAGTAATTTCTAGCTTAACTTTAACTTTGTAACTAGTTAGAACCCTTTGATGATAAGATACTGAATGTACACCCTATACAGCATATTATCCACATACAGGTTTTTTTAATTCCTAATTAAACTTATATAAGATCTTCGGTATCAAACCAAAAACTTAATACTTAATTATTTTTTTAAAATTACATTCTAAAACTATTTTATTTATACTGATCATTTAACAAATTATATTTTAAAAATATGTTTAATTTTTTTAGATTATAATTCAAACCAGGTGTGGGTTCATAGATAATTAAATAAATTTGAAGCATCCTCAAATTTAAATCTCAAATTATACCTATGCATTCTTACTTACGAATATGTTTTTTTCACATTACGATGATACGTCCATGGACCAATGTACAAGTCATCAGTTTTTACACCTTTTTTAATTCCCTCTTCACCGTATTGATTATATAGAGCTCGGCGAAATGGGTCAGATAATACCTCATATGCTTCACACAACATAACTAAACAACAATTTTGAACTTGACTTTTTATTAATTTTCCAAATCTAAAAATCATGGTAAATAATATTAATGAAATTGTTGGAAAACTATAAATTAGCTAACTTGCATACGCTTTATGAATTTCATCTTTGGTACAATGTCTTTTTAAATTTAATATTGAATAGTAATTGATACCCATATTTTAATATAAGTTAGATATTAACTAAAAATTAAACAAAAAATGTATTTTTAATCAAATAACTGAATAACAGACAAGAGTTACTATAGTTATTTGTTGTTTTGTATTTGTACAGCTGCATAACTTGTACATGAAAATAATCTACAAGGCATTAATTTCTTTACAATTCAAATTCAAAGTTAAGAGTAACACTTGAACAATAAAACATTTAAAAATTTATCTCTGGTTAACTAATTCTAATTTTGAAATTCTTAGAAATTAGCGTACAGGAACCCATTCTTTGAATAATTCACCAACTTTCTTGCGCTCTGAAACAAAATAATTAAAAACAAAAAATAGTTAAGCTGCTGTTATGTCATTATTTTGTTACATATCAAAGTTAAATAGATAACTACTTTTATCAAATATTTTATCAACTTATCTTGTGATACAATTTCAAGCCTTAAGTATTAAAATTAAACATTCTATGAACTTTTATTTATTTTTATTTATTTATTTATTTATCTACTAAAACTAAAAGATAACTAGTTAAATATACAATAATGTATACATTTTTAAATTAAATTTTGATAAATGAATATTCAAATTTTTATGATAGTTGTTATTATAAGATGAGGAAATCAAATTTGTTTTTAAAATCTATATTATGTAACTAGACAATTAAAAATAATGATATAATCAATGTTTGAATGAAAATAGGTGTCTTTTAAGTATAAAAAGCAATCCATTTTGAATTATTCAAATATTATTTTAATACATCCTATCACCATGTAGCAAATTTCTTATTTTTTTGGGTTGAAATTTACTGAATATCTATCCAATAAAAGTGTGATCTAGATAGATAAATATTTAATTGTGTGAACTGATTTACAAACCTGGAGCTGGAAAATCTTCTGGGTGTAGCTGAATGTAATGTCTGTACATGGCATCTTTGTCGGCCAGATATGAAGTTCTATATTGCTTGTAATAATAAAGAGCAGTAGCACCAATAATTCCAGCACCTAGCTTTATGTGTATTCCTATAAAAAAAAATGATTTATTCAACGTAAGTACATAAAAAATTAACGTTTTAAATGACACAATGACAAAACTTACCAGAATAAAAAGGCCTTCTATTAATTGTATAGGTGTACCATACTGAACCCGCACCTAATACGAACCCCATGAAAGGAAACCATTTGTTTTCCAACCACGTTGTATGGAATTTTTCATAATCAGGTCCCGGTGTCAATAAATTTATTGGCGTTGGATCTACAGTACCTGCCACTTTATAATCGACAACGGGCTTCATTTTTAATTTTTTGAAAAAATAAAAATCTTGCAAAGCTAAAATCTTATATTTGACCTCTTATCAATGTTATCAAAGATTTTACCCGTACGACCGATTGACTGCCAGTATTACCACCACCACCATACACGTAATAACTTTAGTCGCGTCATAAAAACTGGCGGTATAGTTTGATATCTACTATAACAAATTAACAACTACTTAGTTAAGCATTTTAAATTTTTATTATTTTAATAACAAAAAAACTACTCAGTACTCCTCACAAATCTTAATACATCATTATTTTCAAAAAAAAAAAAATATCCATTATTTAATTTACAGAAAATGAGTAGGGGGAAATTAAAATGTATTCATTATTTGACTTTTCGATAAGTAAATACGACTGTGTTAAAAACTAAAGTTTAACGCTTAAAAGAGTTGTAAATTGTAATAGTCCTATAGTAAAATAACTACCTACCTGGAGTTTCATCTTTACATTTTATAGTGCGTATAATCTTATTCTGTGGTCTCATACTCTCATATCTTATGAAAAAAATATATTTATTTATCTATTTACAGCATTATAGCACTATATATTCTGGAGTTTAGATTGTTTTGTGACACGATAGTTATAGTATTAAAACAATACCTCTTTATGCCTTGTTACTTGTTAGTTGTATAAAATATTTATGTATTTTAAGGCAAATAATAAGTTATAGGTATTTCACAAAATATTAGTATTATTATTAACGGATGACCACCCCACAACCCGATACCCTCCTAAATTTGAGCCGAGTGAATCACCTAGTATAATATTATGAAAACTCAATAAATCATAGTGTTAGTATGTATTATAAAAGAAAACACTTTATTTGATCCTGAGCATGTATTTCTAGTTCCTGATGTACATATCTACTAGTTTTATTACAATGGCATCTTATTGTTTAGTACGTCTGAATTCATCTTTAAAAATAAAAAAATAATTCAATCATATCATGAAATTAAAGACTTTGTGAAAAGATAATTCTGAAAACATATCGCCCACATACATTGAGGTATTATATTAAAAATATTATTTTGATTAACTATTTCCTCTCAACTTTGGAAGACAGACATAATGTTACAATATCAATTTTGCCTCTTGACTCTTTTAGTACATATTTGAATACCTTATTTATCTCCATTTTCTGATTTTTAACTATTCTTTACCTATAATATAAGAAAATATTCATTTATAATTTAAATCATTGAATATTAAATAAATTACCGAAATACCAGACATTAGTTATGGTATGAAAAAAAAAAATTTTCTTTCTCTTAAGGATTTTGTTCAAATAAAATTATCAAAAATATATATATGGACCCATTTTATTTGGAATTTAATAAATAATAACAAAATATATAAACAAACAATAATATTAAATTTAAAAGAAAACATCCTCTATAACTCAATTTTTGTTATTTTTTTTTTATCATCAGATATTTCAGTTTCTTGTTCAATAGGTGGAATTGTATCTTTTTTTATATTTTCTTCAGAATATTCTTCTGTTTTATCTATGATTTGTGTTTCAAGTTGAGTATCAGTTACTATATTTTCTGTGTCATAGAGGGATTTTATGTTAAACATGCCATATTCATCCATTGGCCCATTAATTATTTCACATAGTGATGGTGATTCTATTGTTAAGATATATTTACATGTTTTAGGCTCTAACAAATAGAGTGCAACTGATTCTTCATTATATCGACCTTTGACACATTTATAGCGTACCTAAAAAAAATGAAGGGATTAAGATGATAGTTGAATAATTAAAAAATTTAATATTATTTACCTCAGTTTCTCGCTTATCACCAGTTTTTTCACAGACAGATCCTGAAGAGTAAAAATGAGAAATAACTTGTTTCTTGCCAAAAGAATCTAGCTTGGGTTTTTTCTCTGGATTTTGAGATAACCACTTAATATGTTCATCTATATTAAATGTTCCCAAAATAACAATTTCATCTGGTTTTCCTTTTTCTTTGTGCACTTGTCGAATGTATTTATTGTAACAAATTTCATATTTCCACCAACCAGAGCCCTATAATAAATATCCATTATTATTAAATACTAACCAATGTTTTGTTTTAAATTTTTTTTAACTTACTCCATATAAACATAAATCTCCATTTACATATTCTTCAATTTCATTATTTGGTGTTTTAGAGTGCATTAATAAAGAATCTTCTTTTGACAAATTTAATTCAGATTCTTTATTTGGATGTACTTTAACTTGTATTTTAGTTTCTCCATTCTTAAAAAATACACATAAAAAAAATACTATTTTTAATATTCAATTTTATAACTCATTTTCAAAGTGTAAAACAACCAATAAACCATTAATAAGAATAGAAAAACAAGATCAATTTAAAAAATAAAATTATACACCTTATCTATTGTAACAGCAATTATGTAATTGTCCTTTTTATTGAGAGGATCCTTTAAAAATAATAAAATAAAAATACTTTCAAAATAAAAATAATAAATAAACTTGCAACTACTAAGCTAACTGTATTAAGTGCATATTAAAAATAAAATAAAATAAACTTACAGTTAACATTTTTAATTGCTTTTTCAATTTAGAAGTATCAGATTGAAGGACTTTCAAGTTGTGGGGTTTACGCATTGAATCACCAACTGGAAGGCAATCAATATTTAATTCATCACTGTTTGGTGGCCTATTTAAATGTTTACAAATTAATTAAACTAATTCGCACAGAAACAAAAATTTTATGAAAATAATATAGAATATATCATTCAATTTTTAATTAATGAATACTAACTTGTACCAGGGATGTGTGCATAAAAAGGATGTTAAAATGATTACTTCATATTGGCACGTGGAAGTTTCTTTAACTGAAAACACGTTATGTTTACTTTGAGGATAACAAACATATAAAACATTGGTTTGTCTTGGTCGGCCACTAATGTCACAAATTGTGCCATCAGACATGCTCATTTCAAAATAGGGTAAATTTACACCATCAACTTTTCTTGTCTTTGTAGGTCCAGGATAATTTAAATTTGCTAATCTTTTTAGTTCTTCCTCTGTAAAAAAATAACTTAATTTAATGAAGTAGCTTATAACAATATTTAAGATTAGAGATAAGGTATGTTTACAGAAATGACCTATTATATAATTTTCTCATTAAATTGTTACAAAGTAAATAAATATTGTTTTTTACATTAGTTTACCTAATTTAAGACCATCAAAAATTTTCCATTTGCCCAAGAAGTACTCTTGCTCTTTTTGTGTCTTTCCTTCACGTTCATTATGATATTGTCGGACATGCCGCCCATGGCATACCTCATAAATCCAATATGTATCAACCTGTTAATAGAAAAAATTGCAATTAAAATTTTAAATAATGTTCATAGAATATATCTTACTCTATATGAACAAGCTTGTTTTGAAAATAATGGTGATAATAGCTCCAATGGGCTAGGTCCATTATAAGATGTGTCGGAATCTTTATTTACTTCATCCTGTTTCGGTAAAATACACCGATATGATTCACCAATAGCTGTCATTACATTTAACGAGTTTTCATCTTGTTCCTAATAAATAAACAATAAATTATTGTCATAAGCGTGTTTAGTCATTGACAGTGGCTTATGAATTTAAATTAACTTAAGATAAATGAATCAAAAATATAGGTATATCAATATATCATAACAGTTAAATGTTGTGGAGAGACTAGACTTCAATCAAGGAATAAGCAATATTTTTCTGTTTTTCAATAAGATAGAATTTATATCTATAATTTTTCTTTTTAATGACAATCATACATTACTAAAATATTAATTTAAAAAATAATTATTTCTATGTTATTTATTTTGGATAGATAAGTTTATTAATGTGAAAACTTACCTTTGCCAATCGGTCAGTGACATCTTTACCTGGCCAATTTATTTTGTACAGTATGGTATCATCGAATCCTTTAAACTCTTGCGAATAGCAAAAGTTTAATGAGAAAACAATGAGTAATTTCGAACAAATTTTATACGACGATATCATATTATAGTTCGAGATGAATAAGTCCAAATGACTATGGTTGGTAACAAATTCAAATGTAAGTTCAAACCATGTACTTCGCTGACGTACGATTTATATATTTCATCGCTATATAATATATTAATTTAGAAAACAGATGGCACATTGGCAAACACTAAAACTCAATAAGTATAAGAATTTGTTTAAACATTAAACAATATGCCAATTGCCAATATACACTCGAAATTTGACCAACGACACAACATAATATATATACACATGAGTAGGTAACAACATTATAGTGATAACGACGAGTTTCATTATTCATAAATTTCAAATAATTTGTTAATCACGATTAAAGATAGTACTATCATAAATCGCGGAGTAGACTCAGAGTCGATTATATTCAATATTCATAAATCCATTTTGCATAAAATGATTAAATATTAAATTAATTTGGGACTAAAATACCTTTTTTAGAAACTATTTTTCCGGAATCTCCCCAATTGTGACGTAGCCAGACATTTTTTAGGGGCGAAGGCGTATTACATTTTGTTTCTAGTTTATGTCAACTCTTGAGTCTAAAATAGATACTTATCTAATTAATATCACCTATTGCATTATGACCTGCCCCTCGTTCATAAACATTAAATAGGTACGTGTACTTTTTTCTTTTGACAACTCTGTTACTTTGTTAGCAATTACCGGAAAAAAAAAAAAAATGTTAAAATCACCATAAAACGTATATTGTAATTTTTTTATGTTAGTATATCTTATAAATAAAATTTCAATAAAACCAATGTTGTTTGATACACGAATCATTCAGTATTAAAAATATTGGAAACTCCATCATAATATGTTGCCAAATGTAAATCAAAATATCAACTTACAATGAAACTAGACACGTTATTATTTATTACTAGGTATTATTTATTTTAAAATGTTTTTACGATCGCGTAGCGGGTACTAAATAGACTTATGGTACGATTATACGTTGTAATGGGTACATTTATGACATTATTAATTAATTATTTATTTTTGGCATCATTTTTACAATA